CATCCCTTCATAACCAACATGCATACAACACATCCTTTCCATTGAAAATTTATTTCTGATTTTTTTTTTTTTGATTGAAAAACTGTGGCCCGTAACCAATAAAATGAAAACTGTATCTTTTCCTCATGTAATCTCAAAACATGGATTCCCTATTTTTGAAAAATCAAAACCATGTTTCCTTTCAAAATTGAAAAAGAAATTCTAGCTATCCATAAAATCTGACATGGTCAAAATGGTGCCTGAACACAAATGCCAGTATGTTCTTGCAAATTTTGAAAATGGATCAAATCAAGTGATTTCTTAAAATTGTTGCACTTTTTCAAGGAAAAAGGGTCAGCAGGTGAGAATATAAAATGCTCTTTGAACAGAAAGTTGTTAATCCTCAATGGCACAGTGTGTGGGGGGAGGGAGGAAAATGATAATACAAAATGGAGACTGTAGCAGTGAGAGAGGATGAAAGCCAAAAGCAAATAACATCAAAGGAAGGAAAAAAAAGTAAATACAGACAAAATAAGCAAAGAAATACAAAGTAATCAAATGTTCTGTAGGCAGCAATAAAGAAGATTTTCTTAATGTCATCCATTCCCACACAAACATAAAACTGGATGAGCAAGAATTTAAACTCTAAAAGGAACGAGCAAAGAATGATACAAACTCTCTTTGCAAATTCACACATTGGAAGAAAGAAGTAAATTGTAACAGTGGAAATTCATTCATTTTCATTTATTTCTCTCTTCTTTATCTCTATTCTGAAATGTCTGAGACACATGATGAGGAAAGAGTACATGGAGAATTTTACCCTCATAGGACATATTGAAAAAAATGAGGAAAATAACAAAAAAAGTGGAAAAGAGTCAATCCAGATTATGATTCTTATTTTAGGAAAGGAGATGTCAAGTAAAATGACAATTCCTTATATCAAAAGTCCAAAAATCATTCCTCAATCAAAAGCCAACTCAAATATCCATTTTCTTTGGGTTTTTTATATATATAAAAAGCCTAACTATCATTCCCCAGTTGAAAGATGTGGGCAAAGCCAATACAAATATCAATTCTTAGTTAAAATCCAAAATATCAATTCATAATTGAGAGAGATGATCCAACAGAAATTTTCATTCTTAGGTGAAAGCCAAAATGTCATTGGTGCTGACATCATGGCTTCAGTCACTTTCCCACTGCTGTAACATAGGTTCACTGCCTTTTTATAAATACTTTTATGGTAATTGTTCGGATAAACTTTTCTCTATGGTACCTAGGCTTTATGAATTTAAATGCAATGCTAAATTAGAAACAATGCCTCATCATTTTACAGTTTAAATGGCTGCATGAAGGTCTATATTGACACTTTCTTTTCTTACACTCTTTGCTTATAGAACTCTCTTTAAGTTCCTTGCTTTCCAGTCAAGTTTGATTTTCAAAAATTTAAATGCAATGTCAATCATTATTTTCTGTCTTAATTCTTCTTCTTTAATTGTTCTTACTTTTTAATAATGTTTTATTTTTTCTGATATTCTTTCATACTCAATAACCCTTTGTGTTTTAGTGGCTTTATTCTCTTGCTTGGGATGGAATGATTGAAATGAAAAATCTCCAACTGTGAAAGGAAACAAACACAAATATCCATTGTTTGTTAAAATCCCAAATGCAAATTTCCGGTGGATACATGCAAGTACAGCCAACTCAAATAGCCATCTTGAGTAGAGAATCACAAGAGTCCCAATCCACAGTTAAAGTAGGATAACAAGCGAAATTTCAATTTGGCAAGTCTACCAACCAATCTACAGTTTGCGAAAAGCAGTTAAAGACAATATAAATAGTAATTTTTAGATGAAAAACTCAAAATGGTAATTTTCATTTGAAAGAGGCAGGTAAATCCTGAATATCAGTTTACAGTTTGAGAAAGGCAAATAAAAAATTATTCATTCTGAGTTGAGAAGCCAAAATAAAAAACCCAAAACAATGGCCAATTAAAAAAGTGAATTAAGACAAAAAATGCATGAAAGCAAACATCAATCCTTATTTTCATTTCTTGCAATAATGAATTTCTCTTGAAGTTAGAAACAGTTTGCTGATAAATCTGAAAGATTGTCTTCTCTTGAAGTGACAGGATCATCCCTAAAATGAAGTTAAAAAAAATAACATTTCTTAAATAACCGATTAAAAATCAACACAATGAAAATGATTGTAAAAGAATAAAAGGAAACTATCAATTTCAGATTTTTAAAAAAATTAAAAAAAAAACCCAAAAACAAGTAAAACAAAGAATTCGGGAGAATATGGCAGGAATGGTTGGAAACAAAACAGATAGAAGCAAATGAACCAGTGGGGTCCATTTCACCCTCAAAAAAAAAAAAATGTAACCTGGACAACAAGCATTTTTCTTTTGACATCTGATTTGTTCTAAAATTAAATCACGTCAGCAACAATTTAGTTTAAAATTTTCAAGAAGAAATTATCATTATTATTCAGATGAAGCATGTAGCAACATTGGCAACTATGAGTTCACTGAACACTTGTCTGATAATTTTTATTCTATGTACTCTATCCGTTCATGGCTCTCCACAACTTCCTATCCTTTGTAGCTCTAATAAAGTTTCTCTTATTGCTATATCTTCAAATCCACATTCTGTCAACTGTTTACACAGACTCGTTAGGTAGTTTATATGCTGTTTTCCTCTGTCTCTTTTACCTTCAATATATTCTGTGAGTGCCATTTTTCTAAGCCCTCTTTCCTCATAATGTTCCTTAGAAATATCTCTTTCTGATTCTAAGTACAAGTGTCTTTTTCATTTTCATTTACTGTAAAACTTCCTCGTTGCTCACATGTTCTGTCCATGGTATCCTCCTGTAGAACCAAATTTCTGTTGCCTCAAGTCTCTTATTCAGCTTTGTCCAGCATTCACTGTCATATGAAGGACTGATATTATATAACAATTCAGTGCGCTTTTCTGTAAGTAAACATGATAGAAATTGGGAGGCAATTATGGATTTGGAATTTGTCCTGATAATGAGAACAACTTAACACCATGGCATTTTACATTATCTGCAATTAAAACAACTCTAGTTAGAATGCTTTCTGAATTTCTGGGAGGAGTAGTAACTTGTGCTTTCTTTGGGTGTCTGTTATTCCAGGTAACCTTCAGGGAATTTTGAAATATAAAGAAGGCTTATTAGAATTGTGACATTACAAAAATCCTGAAGAATGAAGAACCCATAAAGAGACCAAAAAGACGTATTATTGCTGATTCTTGGTTCATAAAAGATCTAAAAGAGATGAACAGGAACAAATCCTGCACAAGTTAGAAACTGCTTGTTGATTGCAACAGAAGAGCAAAATGAAAATTTTAATAAAGCCAGCGATGATCCAAAAGAAAGTCTTTGTTCTTAAGTCTTCAGATCAGATAGAAGCAGAAATTGGCAAAGTTGAGAACAAACAAATCTCAATACAAAAACAAAGAAACATCTTTCCAAATGTGACATTTCAGAAATCAGAAATGAAAGGTTAAAGGGAAAATGTTGTCAGTCTGATTCGGTTGAAAGTCAATTATTAAGAAAGTGTTGAAAACAAAACAAAAATGAAATCGAGGCAAATGGATGCCACATTTTGACAAGAAATGTCACCATTTGAGTACAAATGGTGAATGAAAAATGAAATCTTTAATGCAGAAACCAGTAAAAAATGCAAAATTTACAATGTCAGCTGCAAAACTGTGTTTCAAACTTGATTTATTGTCAAGCTCAAAGACATGTTGATGAATTAATTATTTTGTCTCTAAATTCCTAATCTATTTTTTTCTAATTTCACCAAAGCATGTATTTATTGAAGTATTTTCTTTTGTAAGGTGAAAAATCATGTTTGAGTAGAGGATTTTGCTGGCATTTACTAAAAATGCAGTATTGTAAAAAATTGATACACTTTTGAAGGTTACCATTTATGGCAGTTTTTTGCAAAATTTATTAACTGACTGCTTGCCCTAAGTATTCTTGAAACATTTGAGTTTGAAAATATTGAAAGTTTTTGTTGACACTGAAGTCAGTTACTGTTTGAAGAAAATCAATTGATGCCTGATAGACTTACAGAGCAGGTTTGAAAGGAGCACCACATCCTACCTACATGTAAAAATGTTTCAATATAAATCATTTCAATAAAGAAAGTCCCAAACATAAATCTTTTGCACATATTTTCTTTTACTTTAAACAAAAATCATGTTTGAATCAAGATGCAGTAGTGGTATAAGTTGGTGCTCTTGTTCAAGGTCAGCATTTATGGTAATTTAACAGCAAAATTTGTTAAGTGATGCCTTGCCCAAAATTATTCTTGAAGCATTGAAATCTTTGGATCCTCAAAATAAAGTTTTTAATTGAAGCAAATTGTTTGAAGAAAATCAATTGACATCATTGACAAGAAAAAAGGAACTTAATGATTGGTTGGTTGGTTAGATTTTGTTTAATGTCATGTCAACCATCCTGATGGGTCATTTTACTCTAACCACATGAATACATATACACACATATATGTAGAGTAATATGCATGTGAACAGAAATGATAGATTTATTTATTGTTCCCCATAATAGGATCTCTCATAGGCTCAAGCCACAAACACACAAGTGAGATGAGGGTGAAAAGCTGATGGTTTTAAGCAGCTGCTGATGGTTGAAACCGCTTCACTCAGACTTCTCCATGCAGCAACATCCAGAATGAGATCAACTACATTTGTATCACTACAAGGTGGAAGTCTTCCCCACAGGATGACCACACTTATAGGGGGTGGGTCAGATGTAGGATCAGACAACATCTGGTCATGGGACAGATTCAACTGAGGAGGATGCAAACTCTACAAACTGCCTGTGCCTATGATACAGAGGGTCTTAAACAACTTGAGACAGCAGCCAGATTTCAAAAGGCAGTGAGAAATAAGTTTGAAACAGCACAAAGAAGCACTGATCGTGTTGATCAATAGACTCAATTCCAATAGGACTTAACAACAAAGAGGAACCCTCTATGATTGCTGGATCACTGCAACCTCATGGGATCTGATTGATAAGAGAAAAGAAGCTAAAGGAAAGAGGGACCAGGTGAGGAACCACATGACATGGGAAGAATTGAACAGCCTGTACAGGAATCTTGACAAGCAGGTGAAAAGGCGCTGGAGGGGAGACAAAAGGAGGGGGAGGAGGATGGGAGTTGAAGAGAAAAGTGAGGAAGCAGGGGGTGAGATCTTTGTATAGAATTCTGAAAGAGCTGACTGAAGCAAGAAGTGGGTCAAGCATGCCAGTCAAAAATTAGGAAGGATTGGGAAGACTGGTAATCTGTCAGATGGCTAGAACACTTTTGGGAGTTGCTAAATCAGCCAGAATCAGCCAACCTGTTCTCCAAAGAAAGACCACTAGTAAAAAAAACCTTCAAGTGGCCAATGAGATATCAAAAGAAAAAGTGATACAAGGTCATCATCATCCCCTTGACTTTTGTAACCGTAGAGGGGGGATCCAAATGGAGAAGCCACACTAAATCTCCATAATGTTCTATCAATGGCATCCATCAGTAATTCTGGTGTAGTCATACCTGTCCATTGTGTGACATTGTCCAACCATTTTTTTAACGTTGGCGTCCTCTAAATATCTACCTTCAACAGTGCCTTGCATGATAGTCTTGTACAGGCTGTGATGCCTTGTAACGTATCCAAACCAGAACATTTTTCTCCATTTGACAGTGGCGAGAAGAGGTTCCTGGTCCATCCACTTTCAACCCTTTTTCACACAAATATATTGGTTTTATGTTCCCAATCCCCCAGTAGAAGATGCCAAGGAGTTTCCTCATGCATTTGTTCTCAAACAATTGGGTTCTTCTCTCTGTTTCTGCCAACAGTGTCCACTTTTCACATCCATATAGGAGAATGGAGACTATCAGCAATTTATACAGTCTGTACTTTGTTTGAAAGCTGATTTTGCTCTTCATATTTTTGACAGTTTGGCCATCACTGCCATGGCTGTGGCAATCCGTGTGTGCAGATTTCCAAGTTGCAGGTACCATCTTTAGACAAGATTGCTCCTAAGTATTTAAAACTGGATACTTCCTCCAGTGAATTCCTGTTCATGGTAATGTTGACACAGGTTTTACTGTTTGTGCTATTCACTATTACTTTGGATTTCTTGGAGCTGACCTCCATTCCATATGCTCATGATCTTTCAAAAAATTTGTTGGTCAAGTCCTAGAGCTCACTCTTACTACCTGCTATGAGGTCAATGTCATCTGCAAAATTTAGGTTACAGTCAGGTCTGCCACTGATAGACATTGAAGAATCATGGTCATTCAGGGTTTCTGGCCTGATTCACTCTAGAAATAGATAGAACAATGGCCTGTTTATATAGGGCCTGGATGACTTGGATAATTCCATTATCTACATTGAATTCCCTAAGGATTTGGCAAAGACCATCATGCCATATACAAATGCTTTCTTGAAATCAATAAAGTTGTGGAACACATCCTTCTTCTTTTAGAAAACCTATTATTAGATCAAGGGCAACATCTTTTAAACAATGTTTTTATATTTGTAACATTGTAGTATTTACTATGTATAAGCGGATAACTTTTACTTGCAATCAGAATGTATTTAAACATCAATCTGTGATTGCAGTGGGTGCACTGAGATACATTTTCAGCTCTTTGTACATGAGTAGAAATTTTTGGAGATAATGATGACTTTGTTCTGGCTTAGTACAAATGCCTGGAATCTATTTCATTCTACCAAAAGAGTAGCAGTATGAACCTGGGTTAAATAATCCAACAACATGTGTCTCCACTTCGCTACAGTCATCTTTGACATCCTATGTTACTTATTTAAGCACATTTCATAGATTGAGTGACAGGTCAAATTTGCATATGTGGTAAGAGTTTCTTGCAAAAATATCCAACTCTGAGATCTATCTTTTTGTTAAATGACTTGTAACACCACCATTTTCTTTTTGGGAATATTTCACATGTGAAACACGTCCGAATTTGCTTTCATCCAGGAGGTAAGCCATTTTCTCTGTTACAGACTTACTGATACAAGTCCTGCTAATTAACCCATAGCTAGGAGGAGAAAAGAGGAATTCATACCTTTCTCAAGGTTAATTACACAGAAGTGAATATAATGAACCCAACTGGAATTGAAAAATTACTCAGAATTGGAAATTGGAAATCAGCCATTATTCACTACATCACTCACTGATCCAAACAGTACCTAATATTCCCAAATGGGCACCCCTAGCGATGTACAGGCCAGGCTCAACAATTATACAAGAACTGGTGTTTCAATATGATATAGCCATGAGCTTTCATGAAAAATCATGGCAATAACGAATATCCCAAACATAGTAAAGAATACATATCACTTCACATGTTCATTGAGAATTTTTTTTTTTTTAATTCAAACATTTGGATATGATGATTATCACTGAACATTTCTACAATAAGTAGAATCTTCTGCTGACTACTTCAGAATGAGGCCGGCACAAGTTTAGGAAAGCTACTCCCTCCTTTTGAGTCACTATGGAAGGTAGCTGAATCAAAATTTGAGAGAGCCTGTCTCTCCATTTTGTTTGATATTGGAACAAGCATGTCACATGTCTAGGAGAGCTACTCACTCCTTTTGTGTCAGTATGGAAGGTATCTGAATCAAAATCTGAGCAAGCCAGTATTTTCCTATTGTTTGATATCGGAACTAGATTTCATTTTAAGAATTGGGTAATGGTCAAGATATATCTTTAGCTTCTGATGCAAATATACACTTGCAACCTCCACTGTTAAACATTCTCTCATCAATGCAGCTTTGATTAATGGTAACAGGCAATATTTAAAATCTATTTTTTAATCCAAATTCTCATTCTTGAAACTTTGATCATAAAAGGCAACAAACCTGAAAATAAATCATTTTGGGAACCAATGTTATAATTTCATAATGACTCCGACATAATATTGAGTATGGACTCCTGACAAATCTTAAATGCCAAATTCAAAACTCAGAAAATGACACCCATTTGATTTTACTGATCTTGGTAATGATCACAAGTACATCTCAAAACACTCCTTTAAAGTATTTGGACAATATTTACTCACTGGATATCCACGTATATTCCATTGTAAAGAAGCAAATTCAAGTAATAACATTGTCTATCATCTTTAATCAAATGGGGATGCACACACAAACCAGTTTTTTATGCTGCAATAAGATTTTGAGTCAAGACCATTGCATGACAAAAGCCGTTTTGTTTTTTTCATTTTGACAAAGTTTTATTTAGTTTTTTTATACAGATTTTTCAAAGAAATTTTATCACAAGAATATACACAGTTAAAAAAGCTCCAAACTGTATTGTTTGGAAAGAAAAAAAAAATTGCAAATGGATCTAATGACAAGAAACTTATAATGGAATGCAAAGCAGATTCTAAGGACAGAAAGCTGTACATTAACAAAACACAATACCATATATATATATATATATATATATATATATATATATATATATATATATATATATATATTAATTATTTTGCTTCAAGCCTTTTTACTGGTCTGCCTTTTCAAATCAAAGACGTGATAAGGAATGTAAAATGGTAGTTGAAACCATTTTTCGATTTTTCAAAAGTACATATTAAGTGTCAGTAAGGGCATCCAGTTGTAAAATTAGTGACGATCTGTTGTCCTAAATATCTCACACAAACAGCTTTGGACTGAAGTTCAAAATGAACAACTTGCTGTTCAAAGCTGCAAATTTGAACACCATTAGGATTTTCCTCATTTATAATTACAAGGTATTTGTCTTGCAAAGAATTTCTCATTTGAGAAGTAAATTTTACAGAAGTTGGCAAAAAAATTGATGAAGCCTTAAACAAAAACACGATTTGAAAGTTTTTCCTTTTACAAAGCTCCTAAAAAAGAAAAAATAATAAAAAATTGGTAAACAATACATTGGAAGATGATGGCAAATCAGGACAAATCGTGAGAAGGCAGAGAATTAAGTTAATTGACTGACTTGGCATTTTATTTCACTTTCTCTCCCTCTCTCTAATTTTAATTGGATCTCAGCCTCTGCCAAGTCAATTTCAGTTAAACAATAGTTTCAAATACTGTTTGGTATTTTTGAGAAGAAGGAAAAAAAATACTGAAGCAGTCAAACATTTTCAAGTTTGCCTCTTTTGTGAAAAATAACAAACTGCCCAATGTGATTTGACAAAACAGGAAATGCTGACCAACAAAATACTGTTGAATGGAACAATGTGTCAAGGAATTTCATTTTCCATCTTCAAAAGGCATTAACAAATCAATTTTAACAACTGTAGACATGTGAATGTTTTAGAAAAATACAAATGCACTTTTGAGAATAACAAACGATTCCAAGATCAAAATATCAGCTGAAATATACAAGAGTTTATGTTTGAAAGCATAAGAAATACTGAGAATGGAAGAAGTTGGTTTCTTTGAGAAGATGATGGACACAACTCACAGCAAAAGAGGGAGCGAATGTGTCTAGAATGAATTCTAACAATTAAAAACTAAAAAGAAAATATAGAAACTATCTATACAAGTCTATAATGTGATTCTTTTGTTTTCCCCTGTGCGGGGGGGGGGGATTTCTCTCAAAGAATTTGTAGATTGATTGCAACAGGCATCAATGCACAAAGAAAGGATGATTGTCCTTAAAGATTGTCAGAATGTGTGGAGAACTAATAAAGGACATTGGACAAAACGGACGGACAATTTGGTATAGGATTAAAGAGGAGGAGGGTGGGGGAGAGAAACAGAGTCTCCCTCTCAAATACTGATGAGATGAGAAAGATCAAAGAACTACACCATCTTGAGTCATTTTCACACTAATTTTCTTTCTACAGTCTTTCCAGCCTTTCTGACCTTTTCATTTGCTTTATTTTTGGCATTTTAAAAAAAAATTTTTATAATAGTAAAAGAAAAAAAAGGGGTTCCAACAAGAAAATTATGCATTTGAATATATAATTAGAATTTGATAAAGTTGTTAGTTTTATGCAATATTTAAGCTATGAAAAGGAATTTTAAATGGAAGATTTTACATAGGGACAACTCCATCCAAGCAAGTTGGAACCGAAAAAGAATGTTATCTTTATTGTCAAAGCTCAGAAAGAAGAACAGTTTACAGATGAGTAACTGGCATGTGTTTGAGGATTTCTGAAGCTGAGAAAAACATCACCAGGAATCAGTGAAGAAGCTTTCTGGGATGAAAAGAAAGGATCATTTTCTTTTCCATTTTCCTTTTTACACATGCTTTCCTAATATTTCCAAAATGCACAGAAGTTCACCCCTGATCAGACAAATTCTTTGTGGGGAGGGGGGTGTAGGAATCTGCAGACATTTAAATTGCAAGAAGCAAACTGTTTGTAACTGCCCAAAATATTTTTGTTGGAACAAAATTAGCTAAAAAAAAAACAAACATTCACACCAAATTACGGAAAAAACATGAAAGTGAATAATTACTTATATATATATATATATATATATATATATATATATATATATATATATATAGATTTCAGTTGTCATTATATATCTGTATATACATAAAAAAACACATTTAATCCTAATGCAATGGGATTTTAATTGTCAGTTGGGAAAAGCTCAAACAAGTGGAGAGACAAGTTGTTTGAAACACAAAATCACCATTTTAGATGCACTTAGTCAAACTGAATATCAAAGATTGAAAAAAGAAAATTATAGCCCTGCAGATATAACAATAAAAATTTAACATGGGAGTTTGCGTGTATTTTTGTGTGTGTGTGCGCACAGATGACAACATATTTTTGTCACTGACAAAAATATGTGCAATTTATCAACAAATTTTGTGTCCTTTGTTCATTGCAAGCAACCGATTGTTCAACAGGAGAATTATCACAAAGCCGTCATTGGTAAGAAAACAAAATTTGGTTTTACTTTCAACAAATCCATGGAATGTTTGGCAATAATTCAACAATTCATTTTTTTAGGGAAAGAGGGCCAGGAGGGGGAGATCAAGTCATCAAATCCAAAAAACCCAAATGTTTGCAGCAGGCATTTTTTTTCTTTTTCCAAAGAAACCAATTCTAAGAAACACAGAGTCCCAGAGTTAAAAACTGAGTGTAATTTTCAGAAATTAAAGATGTAGAACAAAAAAAAAAAAAAAAGTGATTATGCAAAGATTCATTTTGAAAAATTAAGAACTTTCCTTCCCCAAGAGATTTTGTCAATTTGATTATATTTCTATCTTTTCATTTTCTCTTGCGGTACAATCACCAGCTACAAATGAGCTAACAGGTTCTTTTTTTTTTTTAAACTAAATTGTGTGGTCCAAAGCACTGAAAAGTTATGTCAGCAATTTCAGAAGTGACTGATTTGTTTCCTTTTTTTATTTTTATAACTCCAAAAATAAATGCAGTGGGGAGGCAGGTGGACAAATATCTGTCAATAAATACCTATTGGTAATTTTTGCTTCTTCAATTTCTACAGACCAATCAAATCAACATGTGGCCAGATGGAAGTGGTCATGCAGTGTTTTTATGTAGCATCATCTGAGTTGGCTTATTCAGTCAGTAGTCAAAAATATAGCTTATATCTGTTTTAAAATAACATATTATGGGGAGGAAATAATAAAAAGGATAAAAGTTGATCCAGAAGCAGAAAAAGCAGGAATTTATTCCAAAATTTAACTCCATAAGTGATGCTAAGATTATTTTCTATCCCATCATCAATTTCTATATCTTGAAAAATAGCAACATCAAAAGGTTGTAATATTTTCGCTTAAAAAGAATTAAATTTCTTTCTTTCTTTGGCAAAAAAAACGAAAAAAAAAAGCATCGACTCCAAAACATAATTTTTGGCTTGAAAATACAACTGCCAAAGTTTTTAAACATTGCCAAAAACCAAAGAATTCTGTAAGAAGAATCTTTTGAAACGAACTAATTTTATTCTCTAAGATTTTTAGTTCTGAGGTAGAAGTGAACAATCCTAAGTGTTGCTGTATCCTTCTCCTCTTGTCAATCATTTTTAATAATTATCATTTCACAAATCTTCTGCTTTATCTACTGGATTGTCCATCCCCAGCAATTAGGTTTCAGTTCGTAAATGGCTTTGTAGTAAAATCAGTTGTGCTGAAGAAGTGCAGGTGAATAAGAAACATTTCTGATAAATAATTTGCTTGGATACAGGTGAAAAATATATGATTCTGGATCGGCAAAAGTGACCAACTCATGTACCTAACCCCATCTAGGGTAAGGGTGAAAAGTTCACATAAACCCATTACATTCTGATATCACAAGAGAATAAAACAAAAATTTTTTTATCAAGATTTTCTACATATTTTTTTTCTCCATCAAACTTTCAAAAAATAGATTTCTTTTGAGTTTGTAGATCAGTATCTTTCTTTCTTTTATTTTTGTTGGGGGGTGGGTGGGGTTTGACAACGTGAAAGGCAAAACTGTTGAAGGGCAAGAATCCTTCAAAACAGATAAATATTACTTAAGCAGGATTTCTGTCTATTTTTAATAGAAGCTTTTCTTTTTCGCCAAAAGCCGGGTCAGATCTCACAAGTCAGCCTCTTTGTTTCCACTTATGCTTGTTTTCAATGTCAAAATGGGAATCGAGAGAAGAAAAGGAAGAGGAGGCCACAAAATGAGAATCGAAGGAAAAAAACACAAAGACCAGCTCCAAATTCTCTTTCAAGAAATTTTTCCAAACAGTTTTCAAATGGGGAATCCATTTTTTTTACTAAGAACAAACATTTTTTTTTTATCTGTCATTTGGGTAAAATTAGAGAAGAAAATGGGAGATTTGAACTCCAACATGACAAGCACAAATTTTGCTATTTAAATACAAATCCATCAGAAAATGTTTTTTTTCCTATAGAGATGTTTAAACTCTGAGGAATCTGTTTTTACTATTTATCCAAATAGCTTTACTTTTCTGATTTTTCACAGAATTTTTTTTAAAGAATACATGAATATTTTTTGGATTTAAAGAGGTAAAAACAATAAAATAATTAAAAAATATAAATGCTATAAACTATACAAACCTATACATATTTTGTATAGTTTATGCTATAAACTATACAAAACTATACAAATATGAATAAATCAATGATGAGAGGATCGATATTGTCCCCAAAAGAAACGTTTCAATTTCACAGTAGCAAATGGTCATCTTCAGCAATATCAGTACAAATGAAAAATGGAATTCTCAAAATAATTTTTTTTTTGCTTTTCTTCAATGAATGCCATTAATGAATTAGATGATAAAAACAATTACACATAAAAATTCAGCCAAGAATAATTTAAATGTTCAAAAGTTTTGTAACATTTGATTGAGAAATTTGATACAACTTCAAAAGTACAAAATATTTTTATATTGTTTTCTACTAAAATATTTCAATTCCAGGTTTGAAAATGAACAACAAACTACAAATAAGTTCTTAATTTTGTTATTACTTTTTTTCTTTTTTTAGTTGCCATATAAAATCCTTTCTGCTGATAAATACTGTTTGACTCATTTTGATGTAATACAAAGTGGCTACTCTTTTGTTTCTTAAGCTAAAAAAAATGTTTTTCTTGGGCAATCAAGGAAGAAATATAAAATGAAATGTCAAAGGTTTCATGATTGCTGAATGACTCTACTGATGTTTTTGAAAAAGACTTCATTTATCATCCAAGAAGATTAAAAATGGTGGATACTTGGTGAGCCAGTCTATTGGGAAGAAATGGAAAATGAAGAATCAGCCAAAAGTTGAGCCTATAAAAACAGAAAAGCAGATATAAAAAAAAACAAAATAGATAAAAAAAAAAGGTTGAAATTTCTATCAAACATAAAAAAAAATATAGGAACTCAAAAAGAACAAAAGTGTCATGTGTGGCTCATGAGAATAGAGGTTGGGGAGGGCTAGATCATGTTTGAATCAAGAATAAAACAGCAACAGTAGCATTGCAGCAGTAATTAAATGTCAGTTTTGATCAGACATTTGAGCAGCAAGTTTCACCAAACTTCACATTTGGATTTTGGATTCATTCGACTTCCAACTGAACAATTAAACTGTTTTGCAAAATCCCATGAGTTGGAAAGCGTTCCGATTACTCTGAAAATAAAAAGAAGAAAAAAGATATCAGGACATGTGAAGAGCAGAGAAGAAAATCCAACGACCAGACAAACTCATTTTCCTTTCATCAAAAAGCAGATAAAAATAAAAAAATAACAATGTGAAAATGTTTAAGAAATTTGGTTGGGATTAAAATTCTGATTTCATCTCTGAACTTGATATAAAGTGCAGCCGAGTGGTTCTTTATCAAATCCTCATGTTAAGGACTTTTATTTTAAATGAAAATTTTATTGAAAGCAGAGCATTTCCATCTTTCAAGTTTTATCTTCTGCAGATAAAGGAGGAGGACGTTGTCCTAGAGGGATAATTTCTGGCTGGAGATAATGCAAGACAAATACTGTGTTGCATTATTTCAAAAGTGCAGCAATTTGAAATGTTTGCATAAAAAGTGTCTTATTCAACAGGTTACTTGATGGTCCATTGAAATATGTCTTTTCTAAGAAGAAATAATCCTTGTGATTTGTGAGAGAAAATAAACACTAGTCAGTTTATTCTCACTTGTGAATATTTGGCTCTTTAAGGTTTCAAAATATTTTCTTGAAATGTTTTTGAGGATATTTCAATCTCCAATTCAAGAGCGATTCCATTAGTTATCATCTAATATTAACATAAAATTCTTCAAACTTACAGCCCCTTATATTAATGTTAATGGGCTTTCAGTCTTTCCCCTAGTTTTTTGGTACACTGATATTGATGTAGACTTAAAGTAAAGAAGAGGATTGTTGCCACTTAACAACAATTAAAAGAAGAAGAAACAGTCTTATCCTCCTCTTAGCTTTTGTCTCAAACTTTCTGTTTGCCTATTGAAAATAGATAAACAAAAATGATAAAGTGATTCCAAATTGTTGGCTTACCAAGGAAAAATACTGAATTAATCAAGACAAAATGGAATAGGTTTTGTTAACTTTGAAATTTCTGAAATATTTTGAAATGGGATCCAAATCTTGTTTAGCTGGTTTGCTGTTTCAATAACTTGTGATGTCTTTCAGAATCTTTTTGCTTATAAGAATTATATGATATTGATTAAGAAAACTTAATCACTATGATTGTCTTGTAAGACAAAGAATCTAAGAGAAACAGAATTCTTGACAATGTTTTCTAATCTGACCATTTTAGAAATGGAAGTATTTTTCCCTATGGGTCAGATTAGCCTTTCTGTGAATAAAATGTTGGTAGAAGTCATTGCTGAAGCAAATCAATTTTCTTGCTTTGAAAAAACAGGTACTACATTTTGATCTTCCAACAACTTGTTATAAAATAGCTAAAGTTTACACGGTTAAAAATACTGATTTTGAACTTCAAAGTAATAATGCTCAAAATTAATGGGAAATATTTTGAACAATCAAAAGTGATTCATCTCAAAACAGCTTAGGTTTACTGAGATGTATGTATGGTGCGCGTGCGTGTGTATATATATATATATATATATATATGTATATGGGTGTGTCCCATAGTTGCATTGTAAATGAGTCTATTTTGATATTTACAAATACAACTTGTGTTTTACTCTGATGAAACAAAAACTTTAGCCAGGTAGGTGCAGCTACTTTGAAACTAAAGACAATTTAACTCTAATTGAAGATTATCTCTACAAGTTTTTGAAATGAGAATAAAAACTTTTTTGGTAAGGTAACATCAAAACCTGAAAACTTTTCAGTCTTAAACAGTGCTATGCCTATGATGAAATCCTGCCTCCACCTTGTAGATACACATATTCCCCTCCCACCCTCTCTTCACACAATCAAAGCTTCTTTTTTTTACCATTAACATCATATTTTCTTCTTTAAGCAGCACCCAGCTATGTCTCATTTGTCCACGCTGATGCTGGTATAATTTACAGACTTTGATCATCTTGTTAATGATCGGGACTTGGCTAACAGTGTAGTTTCTCCTGATTCTAACATCTAGAGGACAATGGGTGTCAGATTATGTGCCTACCTATTCTTTATATCCCAATAATTGTACATCAATCTCCTTGCCACTTGAATATAAACCAAATTATCAAGATGTAAGAAAATTATTTCAGCATAATTAGTTTGAATTAGAAGACCAATGACAACCAAATAATTTTGACCAAGGCCACCTTAATCAATTCATTGGAAGATCAATAACAAGCAATTAGGTTGTGTAGTGATTGGAAATGGACTTTACTGGAATTGGCTAAAATTTAGTATTGACACTTTAAAACAGACATAGAAAGTCTGAAAAATAAGTTCTTTTGATGACACCCATAAATAGGTTCAAGTTTACTTGAGGTAGTGGATATTTTTTTAAGATCACTTTTGTCACTTGAGATGAATTTCTGTATTTGTGGGTAAAATCAAGTTTCTTCTTTATTTAAAGCAGCGACTATTTCCTTAATGCAGCATCATTTCCTTTACAGAAAAACTTGGGCATTTTTTATTTTTTCCATTCATTTTCAAATTCTCAACTAAAAGCAAGTTTTTCAATTCAACAGCACATGCAATTATTGTGCAGAAATTTTTCCATTCTCAAATTAAAGTAAAATTATATTTTAAAAGAGTCTGACAAGGGTTTTTACTTTTTGAAGATTTAACATTTAATGAGAGATTATTCAGTGACATATTAAGTAATTAAGAAATATACAATGAAAATATTGTTGGAGTTGACAGTAGAATAACCACTAATATTATTAGCTGTAGTACTCACATCTTGTTTAACATGATGTCATCCAAGATGGGTATTAGAGAGGGCAGAATTTTTGACTCAAATTTGCATAATGGTGGTACTACAAATTCCATCAGATGCATTTATATTCCAACAAATATTGTTTGGCTAATAATGAAGAAACTTTAGTTTTGGAAAGCCACAACCAATAAAAAAAATCATGTGACTTTAGTCATTGAAAGTAGTGAAAAGAATTTTTTTTGTTCTCTCTCACACACACACACTTTCATTATTTAACCCAATGAAAATAAAAGATAACTGAGTTGGAATTAAATGCTCAAAGTGACCCCATTTGATGGGAAAGCCATATTCAATCTGGAAATCTTATTTATAAAGTAGATGCCCAATGGATGTGGCAAATTGCCATTATTTGCAAGGTGTTTTTTCTAATCATAATCAATAGATTCCAAAATCAATCTTTCATTGAAAACTGTTGATTTTTGTTCCAAAGCATGTAAAAACTTATAATAATAAAACTGGCAGTTGTGTTACAAAAATATGAGATTCTGGCTCAAGCGATTAACCAGAGCTGAATGCACTTTTACTGAATATTAATTACTTTTTTTTGTTTTTTTTAAATTGGGTAAATGTGATTGAGTAACACAGTTTTAAAAAGTCATTGATTATGGTAAAAGATTTCATTAGATGATTGAGGTCTTCAAACTGAAATTCAGAACAACTCCTCTTAAGCCAGTCATTATCAAATGGAATTTTTCTCAATTTAGCTGTAGACAACAATATACAACTCAACTGTAATAAAATTTTTTAAAAACTACTAACTTATTTTAGTCAACTGCTAGGAGCTGCCAATGATCCTTTCATTAGTAGCCTCATTTTTATTCAAAGTTTAGTATACTCTGTGTTTTTGTTTGAGTAAATATCCATCATAGGTAAAAGAAAATACAATTTGAAGAAGTTAAAGCTAAAAAATCAAGTTATGTTTGAATCCCAATTTGGTTGAGATTTGATACCATTAAAAATATTTGAAAACTGATTCCAAGCAAAATCTGAATGTCTTCTTCTCTAATTTATGACTTAATCATTTGTATTTGTTATTAATTGCCCTCGATGACCATTTACTCTGCAATTTGGTTTCCTTTGAAAAGCTTTGCAAAAGAATATTTGATGAGAGGAAAAAAAAAAAATAATAATTTCATCTCTCCCGTTCTCTCTTTTCCCTTCTTTCTTTTTGTGTGTGTGTGTGTGTGTGTGTGAAAACTGCTAAATTGAATCTCTCTTGCTTTCTTGAGAGAAGGTAAAAAGCAATGTTCTGAAATGAACTTAAGGATCTAATGTAGAAGAGTAGATACAAAAGAACTGATAGTGTGTCCTCAGTGACCTAGTCGTAAAAAGTCATTTGATTCTTTAAAAAATTCTCTCTTCCTTTTTTCCTTAAATATCTTCTGTTCCATTAATAATGCATATTTTATTTGACTTCTTCATTCTCTTTCTGTCTCCTCACTAACAAGCATGACATTTACCTTTCATCATCATCTTCTATTCACAACAATTTCATCATCATCATCTATTAAAGGGAAACTAAAAACCTTCCTTTCTAAGTTAATCAGTATCACATAGTGAATGAAGAATTCTTGTTGTGAAAGTGCAATTATTTTAGACTTAATAATTGTTAAAAAAAGAAGAAAAAAAAAGGGGAAAACTGCCTGGGATGGTGTTAGCAATTTGTCAGTGCACTGTGTCTCTGCATGTATGCGCCTAAATTCTTTCCTAGCCCAACAGTCATTTTCATTTCCCAAAAGATCATTAGAGTGAACAAAAATTTGAACATTTGCTTTCTTCAATAAAGTCAATCTCTGAATTGTTCAAGATGAATAATAAATGTCTTATAATTATATTTTGCTTATTTATTTATCAAGTCAGATCCCCTGATGATGCCACAATGGACACAACTTTTGTGGCCATTAAACTAATAACATTTCTTATATATATATATATATATATAATGATCAACTTTTGAGAGATAAAAATGAGAATGTAAATTGATGCTGACTTTCTCATGTACACACACACTTTTTCTTTCCTGTCTACCAAAGTATCAGCTTTTTACAATCACTGAAGACTGGAAGTTTCACATTATTAGCATTGACTGTTTTGGACTTAGTACTAATAGACATATATTAACATTTGTATTGCCTTTGTAGAATTTAATGCTTCCATTTCTGCATTTCATAAGACATTAAAAAAAAGTTTTACATTGAAGATGAGTTAATGTTTGCATTTTGTACATGTGGATTCCATGCAATCTGAGCCTTATTAGCAATCAACTGGTA